ACTGCAGACGGGGCGTGGATGAGCAAAGTCAAATCCAGGCCAAAGCCCGGCTGCAGCACCAGAGGTCAGAGCAAAAGTACCAAAGCTCTGCTGGCTCCAAAGAAGAGTCAGTCAAGGTTAAACTTTAGAGCTGAAACAAAACAGTTTTAGTCTCTGTAGCTGATTTCCTCCTTCATCACAGATGAATAAAAAGAAATAAGAACTTATTTATCGGGTGAATTGACTTGTTGAGGCTCTAAGTTAGGGGCGTGGCTTCTTTGGCTGACAGGAGTCCACACAGCCGTCTGTTCGGCTTCACTGGACCTGTGGGCCGTGTTTTGGAGCATCTCTAATGTGGTTATCTGACCAACAACATGGCTGCTGTGTGGTTAGGTGTAACAACAGACTGAAGTCTGAGCTCCATTCTGATGAATGAAATTTCAGCAGCCAGTCAGCACGTACCTGTGCTCATGCTTTGCACCTGTACAGTTTATGAAAGCAGCTGCTGAACCAAGCTCGCTACATTTAGCTGATAACTCAGCGCTCTATGGTCAGGTCTGTCCCCAGAACCCCAAAGGCAAACATCACGTACTCAACAGGAAGAGCCAAAAGCCCAATGCCATCTTTTATGTACAGTCTGTTCAAAACTAAACCAAATGGGGAAGGTTTGCTGATACCATCAACCCACATTTATTTTATTCAAATTGAGCCAGGAAAGAAAAGTTTGACTAGAATTTCAGAGCTTCAGCTTCCAGTAACTGCTGTCCTTTATCTGCATGCAGCAGCTGCTTTCATTTTCAGGTCGTCGGCCTCATTATTTCAAGTTTCACTGCGCTGCTTTCATTAAAGCGCCTTTAAGCTTATTTATAGAAAATGATCAGTCACACTGATGGAACATTAATTAGCCTTTAAGGTATTATAATTCTAACCTGGGCTATTCTCATAAATATTACTTTTACTGTATTACTTTCAGAGAAATAAACTCTACGGAGACGCAAACACCGGACAGAGGAGAGACTCTGCACCTCTCGCACCTGGAAGTAAATCAGTGTTCCCGTTTGATTCGACCCGTTTCCTTCATCTCTGTCTCACACATCCTCATAAACTTGATCATTTCTCTCTCCAGCAGCTTCATCGCGCAGCTCTGGGCGCCCGATCACACCCAGCAGTCCTGCGCTCCGCCCGCCGAGCCCGTCTCAGCCGATCGCTCTGATCGACCAGCCGGGGAGTTCGATTATCTTACCTGAGTCTCCATCTCAGAAGTTCGGTCCCAAAAAACGAGTAAAAAGCAACAAGAACAAGTAATAACTGAAAAACCACCGAAACCGAGGAGCACCGAGCGGAGAGTGCCGGAGGATTTACACGTTTCCTGCTGAGAGTCACACAAAGTCCTCCCACTCACCACACACACAGTGATACACGCGCGAATACACACCCACTGAACACACACACGGACGTGTGAGCCTCCGCTGCTTTCAGACCCTCTAAACTTTGTGTAACCTCTTTGTTTGTCAGCGCTGAGCTCTTATCAGCCCCACCCACACGCGCGCGCACACACACAGAGGGACGTGACCCGTCCAAACTGACAACTAACAGCAGGTAAGATGAGCTTTCTGGAACAACCTGTTCAGGTTTGTTCTCAAATTCTTATAACTGTTAATTAGTGGAGACGCGTCACAGGTCTGGTTCGGCCCGCATGGGTCCGGTTCCAGCCGGGTGTGTCTCCGAGGGCCTGAATAAGTCATTCTTACGTTTAGAGTAAAAGCAGATCTCTGACGGTGTTTCTGTTGGGACAGGGGAGACAAACTAGCGGCTCGGGGTCCAGATCCAGCCCGCCAAAGCGTCCGGTCCGCCCCTGGACGTTTTGCAAAGTGTGGAAGTTGCAGTGACGTCAGCGACGTTGTTTGTGTGCATAAATTGGCCAAATGACTGTGAATGCTACACGTGAGACAAGATGCTGATTGGACCAGCCAAACATAACTTTTATGCGTTTCCACTGTGACGTGTTTGTGAGATTCCACTCATGAGATTTCTCAGCTGTTTTTACAAAGATGACACATTAAATGATCAAAACTATTTGACAAAATACTTTCGGTTACCTGTGCTCAGGTGAACATCTTCAGGTTGTTTAGCTACAGATAAGAGAACATGGAGGGTGGGTCTTATTTCCAGTTTTAAACGTGGTCCGTGAACTCGACTGAATCCTGTTAGAGGTGACAAATTAAAGGAAAAACTAACAAAGTTTGTTAATGTCACATATGGACCGCCTTAACACCGATTCTCCAAGTCTCTGACAGTGGCTGGATGAACACCTTTCTTCCAAAAGATAAGGTGGAGTGCAGTTTTACACGCTGGCGGTCGTGGCGTCTGCTGACATCCTGGAAAAGACCCAGATTCCCAGATGCTTTTAGCAAAAGTGCTTTATAAATAAACTTTATTCTGATCACTTTTGGATAAAACCAATAATTAACTTTATTTATTGGAAAGAACACAGCGAGCACAGTCCTGCTGTAAAAGATGATCTGAAGAAAAAAAGTCTCTGCTGTCTGAAACCATAAATCAAAAAAGGAAGTCGCGTAATGATCGTGGCAGCGAGCAGGAAGCAGTCAGTAAATGTGGTCAGGCCTCGACAGGTGAGGCTGGCAGTTACTTCCTCCTGCAGAGCAAAACTTTCAATGAAACAAAGAACATTCAGTCTGTAGATTTCAGAGTGACTTTTTACTCCGTGTGCTCAGCACGCCTCACGCTACACGCAAACACACAACAATCATGTTATCTGATGCTTTGGCAGTATGTGTTTTTACTTTCACACCAATCAAAGCTTTTCATTAGAAACGGTCTTTTCACTTCTGTCGGTTCCTGTTGTTCCTTTGTGTCGTTTTAAGTCTGTGTGGTTCGTTTGGTCTCTTTTAGCTCTTTATTCTCAGGTTTTGTTTCTCCGCTGTCACTGAAACACGTTCACGTTCTGTGCTTTACCGTGGACGGATCAGAGGATCAGTGCAGCGTTGAGACTAACGTGGACCATTTTGGGTAAAACAGAGGAACCAGAAGACAGTCAGTCTACATTCTTACCATCACCTACGGCCGTCGGGTCGACAGGTGAGCTCGAAGGATCAAGCAGCAGATAATCATTCATCTGTAAGGTGACTGAGCTCAACAAGGCGAGGAGCGAGGAGCTGCTTGGTGGTGTCAGCTGATGTCAGGCAATCTCACCTTGGAGGTTTTCAGCGTTTGTCCTACTGCAGGGATGTCGAACTCATTTTACACAGTGGGCCAAATATTTGGATCCTAACTGACCCGGATGGTGAAATTCTGTCAGTTTGAAGAAATTTAACTTAACCCTCAGATTTCTTATTATAAGAAAAATAAATATACTCCAACAGTGTGGCTCAGTTCAGTTTGCATGATAAAGAAATCACCACACCTTAAACTGTAAGAAATAAACGTGTAAAATTACAGAACAAGCTCAGGTAAATCTTTGCTCAGACTGTCTTGTACTAATAAACAAAATAGATAATTATATAAAATTATAAGAAAAAAGTTTTTCTAATTCACAGAATTTTAAAATGTGGCTTTACAGCAAAAACAAAAACACAAGAAAGTTGTAAAACTTTTAAAAAATACAAGTAAGTCCAAAATTTATCGCCTGCTCCACATTTTCCAAACCCAACAGGAGTCTTTGCCAGGCCCATTCTGGCCCTCGGGCCTTATGTTTGACACACCTGCCCTACTGGGATGAGCCCTTTAGATCTCGGACGTTCTCCTGTGTCCCGCCTTTTTGTGGCGGTCTCAAAAGCACCAACCCGAGGCTTCAGGATGTGGGTCCACGAACCGCTACCGTCTGTTTTCTCTATGATCAGTTTATCTGGAGCACATCTGGATTCTCCGCCTCACTGAGACGAGACTCGGACTTCAGAATTTAGCCCGTATTTTTGTCCCTCTGTGGAAAAAGTCGATAAGTGGAGCTAAAGTTTTGTTATCAGGTATTTCATGCGTAAATTTGCTTTATTAGCTTTAATCACAAAGTGGAACATCTGGCTGAGCTTCATGGTCCGGGAGACGGAGCCCAGAGAGAACCCGATGGTTGTGGAAGGTCCTGGAGGTGTTGAGCACGGTCGGGTCGGTGAATGACGACTGAGACGAGGGACTCGTGCTCTGAGAGAGCAGAGTTAAAGGAGTGGTCGCTGTCGGACTCGCCTGACCCGGGTTGGTCCTGGTACATCAGGTCTGCTTCACTGGCCAGAGGGGGAAACAGATGTTCAAGACTTTTAACCTCAGAGCAGGTCACATTAAAAAATATCTACATGTGGACATGCGATCCTTCACGTTTACCATCAGCTTCTATCAATGCCTCCTTCAGACGTGTCCTACCTGAGTTCAGAGTCCAGGTAAACACTGTCATCACTGCTGGGGCGCTCTCCTCGTTCTGCTTCCCTTCCTGAGCGGCCACTCGGACTTTGCTGCCTCGCTGTGGGGATCCTCCTCTTTATCTGCGCGTTTGTCTGGCGGGTCGACGACAAACTGGGCCGCTCGTCATCAGTGGAGTCTCTGAGAGAACCAGACAGAGAGCATAGACCAGTGGGTCCCACTGTGGGGCAAGCCCCTCTTGGGGGACACAGAGCTGCAAGATGGAGGGGAACCTTTACCCCAGATTCTGAATCCGGGGCAGGGAAGAACATGTTTGACTGATTTAGAGGAAGCACTTCTGTGCTGAAACATCTGGATCGCTCATCTGCACCTTCACTAAATTTAATTTGGAAAATAATGTTAAGAAGCAAATATTTGTTGATGGGCCCCGAGCACAAGTGCAAAGAATTTAAATCTTTAACATGACTCTTGACAAGGAAAGTAAGGAGAACCGGTGCCGTTCTCAGCTGCTCCAACAGCTTTGGGAAACATTTATCACTGAAAGAAGTTCAGAAACGCTGAAGAGTAACAGATCATAGCTGCGCGCTAGGTTTCTGTTAACAGCGATCAGTCTACGGGGAGGCGTGTGCAGCAGAGACTGACAAATGTAGCTAATACAAAAACCGCAATTCCTCTGATGGCCACTTGAGGCAGGCTGCAGCGGTAAGTCAGCCTGTGTGGGGGCGTGGCCTCAGCTGTCGCTGCCAGCTGTTTGTTTTTAAACAGTGACAGCAGGCATCTCCATGGAAACCGTTGTAATTGTGCCTCGTTACAGTTGTTTGGAGCCTTCGTCACCCTGCGTCTCTGTGACGTCCTGTCACTGGATAACGTCAGAACTCAAATCCAGTGCCGCTTCTCTGCTTTATAAATCACTTAAAACAGAGTCAATGAGACACATGGCGACACCGCTCTGGCTCAATTTTACAGCCCTTCTCTGGCGTTCACTCACAGCTCCTCCTCGCTGTCTTCCTGGAAGGTCAGAGGTCGTACGCAGATGACACACGTGCTCCCCAAACTCTGGAAGCACGGCCGACAGTACACGCCTGCAAAGAGACGGCAGCTTGTAAAAAGAGCAGTCATCCTCATTCATGACACAAACTCTGCTCGTTTTAAATCGCTCACTACGAACTTATGAGGAAATGAAAGGACCAGTGAAACAGTGACCCAGGCTATCACTGGGTGCAGTCTGATATAAAGTTCTCCTGCTGGGTGGACTGATTCAGTGTCACAGATAGCAGGTGTTTTTTTATTAACCAGCTGAATGTAATCCTCTCTGCAGCCTTTAAAAGGATCTCTTGGCTCTGTGAAACCTAAACAGAAGCTAAAGAGTTAAATCTGCTACAGTTACAGTTACCTCTCACTTCAGCTGAGTCAACAACAGTGAGCGCTGCAGGACACTCCCTCAGCGCGTACACACACACACGCACACACACACGCACAAGTTTACGGCGTCACACTGCAGGAATTTGTCCTGGTGTGAGAAATGATTCAGTCTTTCGCTGTTTTTTGATGTAAAGCGTTACCTCACTGTTTAAAGGGAAAGACACACCTCAGAGACTAAATCACATCACATTCATCATCAGGGGTGAACACTGATGCTATGTCCAGCAAACAGACTTTTCAGGGTTGATGCAGATATGCAGCACGTGGCTCCCTGTGCTTACTTTCTGTTGCAAATGTGCAGAAAATCTGCAAAGAATCTGGACAGGAAGAGGCGCCACGTGGAGAGCTTAAAGGCCAATCCACCCAATAAAAACTAAAAACCTCAGGACGGTTTTACCAGGGAGCGCCCTCGGTGGGTTTACCTGAACAGTGCGGGGCATCACAGATGACTGCGCTCAGGTCAGGCAGGCGCAGCACCTCTCCACAGACCAGACAGCAGGCAGGTGTCGACAAGCCCAGCAGGTGAGACAGGCGACCTCCTCCAGGTAACCTGACAGTAATGCAAACAGATCGCATCCTGACCTTCTGAAGGTTCTGGTCCCTTAGTTTCAATGAATAATACCAACCCTGTTATTAATGTAACCACACACAATGTTTCAACATTAAACAGGCTGAAGTCGATCTACTCTGCTCATCCCTGTCAGACCTGTTGCATCGCATTAACCACAAGCTGTGACAGTGAAGCAGCATAAAGGATCATCACATCAGGCCACGATCTAAAGACACAAAGTCAGTGACATCAGGGACTCCAGCGAACCACGGTGGGAGCCGTTATCCACACATGGAGAAAGCCTGGAACAGTCCTGGAAGCTTCCCAGGAGCGACCGGCTGACCAAAATTCATCCTGGAGGACCTGCAGGCCTCAGTTAAGGTCAGAGGTCACGATTCAACAAAATGAGAGTGAGCAAAAAATGGCCTCTGTGGGAGAGTCGAATGAAAACCACTGCAGACCGAAAAGATCGTCTCACATCTGCCAACAAACATCTGGAAGATCCCAGAAACGTCTGGGAAATATTCTGTGGACTGACGAGGCAGAAGCTGAACTTTGTGGAAGGTTTGAGTCCCGTTACGTCTGCGTCAACCTGCACGCAGAACATCAACCTGCCACCACTACAGTCGGACTCGGTGGTGTGATGGTCCGGGCTGCTCTGAGGGAACCGCGAGTGAGCGAGGATGTCGGCCCATCAGGACACAAACACAGCAGCGAGTGTCTTTCCCTTAACGAATGAAATCATCATTTGAGAAAAAAAAAACGGAATCAGACTGAATTTGTGTTCAATAGTTTCTGAGAGAAATACAAATGTTTTTCACTCCTACAGCACCTAAAGCGTGCACGTGTTTGTGGGACACGACTTTAGGTCAGTCTTTGTACCGTATCAGCAGAGCATGGAGACGTCCTCCTCCTCCTCCCGGGTCGGTTGTGCTCCTGCCCACAGACCTCCTCAGGGCTCTGCGCACCCCCCTCCTCTGATCCAGGATCTGCTGGCGGAGGAACCGGATCCTCTCCTGTCGAGCGCAACGACAACAGCCCAGCTCATCACAATCATGTCTCGCTTTTCCCTCACACATCCAGAATGTCACGCTCTGTGATCAACATCCACCACAGCAGCAACACAACCTCCCGCTCTCTGTGCAAAATCAGAAACATTGGCAGAGTTTCAGCGTTTGTCACGGAGAGTTAAAACATGGGAGGGTGAGGGCAGGTCCGCTCTGTCAGGCGATGCAGAGATAAACGGACATGTTGCAACGACACGCTGACGGCCGACAGATGAACGTGCTGCTTCTTACGCTTTGTGAGGGAACATTTCAACATAAGCAGCACAATGAAGCTGGAATCATCAGAAAATTCCACGTTAAAGAAATTAAGCTAGTTTCACACTCCAGTGACCTGCTGGTGTCCCGCTCAGATTCCCACTGAGTCCGTTTGCTTCTCCTGCAGCCTGTCGTGGGTTTGTTTTAACATGCAGTGAACCGCGGCTAACACACTGATGAAGGAAACAGCATCAGTGAGACGAACACGGAGTAACCGACTAACCATCCTTATATAAAACATCACGGGGCCGTAAATGAACCCACGCTTTCATGTTACTGAGGATTCACATCTAATCTGTCGAGGCTCCGACTCCACACTAACAGAAAAATCGACAGGCCAAACTCAGCCCAGCAGCAGCCCAGCAGCATCCCAGTCATCTAAACGGAGCCCATGAGGCTGCGCTGGGCTCAGATTTGGCGTGACACTAAATCTGCGTCCACGCAGGAGGACGCCGGGCCAGCCAATCGCATCTCCGGCACGCACTCCTGGCAGTCAGAAAAGCAACCACGCCCAGAACACGCGGCTGATTATATTTCACTACAAGCAGAAGAAGAGGAGGAATCCACAAAGCAACATTGGTGCGATTTATTGCGTGAAAGTTGCATCCAGCCTGCAGAGCGAACGTGCAGCAGACACACACTAACGTGCAGACAGAGGAAAAGCAAACACCAAACTGAACTCTGTGAAATCAGAGTTGAAAGCGGCCGACGGCAGTGGGTCATTTCCCAGAAATTCCACAACCACCACGACCAAAGCAAAGAAAACAGATGTGTTAACAGACACACTAGTCGCCGTTTGCCACAGCAGTTTGTGATCAACATTAGACACACAGCCCCCGCCTCAGAGCCGTCGACCAGCCGGGCGGCACAGGATGTTCTGGTTCCTGTGACCCGAACAATCAGGGTCGCGCAGAAACGTGTTGCCAAAATACATGAGGTTGAAGCGGCGAGCACCTCCACATTGTTAAACCTGCGCCAGCTGTCGAGCAGCGGGCACGACCTCAGAGTGAGTGCAGGCTGCAGCTGGGTCATCGCCCGGATTTCTAACATGCGGTGAACGTGGATCTATTTGAATCCTGACAATAATCCTTTCCTAAACCGCAGGCTGCATTTACAAAAGATGGCACCGCCACCATGAAGCCAGCCGCTCGGTCTCATGCCCAGCGGCATGCTGGGAAATGTTTCTAACCTTCATTGTGAAAGTGTTTTGGCAAAAGTCAAACGTTGGTGTTATTTGGTGGTTGTTTATTGATTTCCTTTTGTGGGGAATGGTCTAAGACTGGGAAAGCTTTGGCCTTTAAACTGGAGATCGGTTCGATGTGACGGAGTTGCCGGGCTGGTTTGTGGCGGCAGCGTGTTTTCCTGACTTTCGGCCTCGCCCGGGCTCGGGTCTCTGCGAGCAGTCCGGGCCTGCCTCCTCCTTCCTCCTCTCACTCTTTCATTCTGCAGATTCTTCAGATGCCTCTCTGCTCCGTGACCTTTCACCCACAGCAGCAGCTGTTCTTCCTCTTCGCTCGTCTCACCAAAACAGCACACCTTCACTCGGAGTGGGCGGGGCATGCAGGTGAAATAAAAAAACCTGCCCTGGGGCACAGCTCTCCTGATCCTCGTGTTGTCAGAGGATCGGTTTACATCATCTCTGCGAGGCTGGCCGGCGTCCAAAATCCACGAAGAGAATATGAGCCGAGGTTTGAAAAAATGCGAGCCACCCAGGAGCGGCTGCGTGCGCTGCCAGACAGCTTTGTTAGAGGGTTCAGAGCTGGTTTAAATCAGAGTTCTCCTTGTAAATCCACACCACTGCAGTGGATTTAAAACTCACACAGTGACGACGGACGGGCAGGAGGCATGACTCAGGTGCAGACTTCCAGCTTCAGTTCAACTGGTTTAAACAAAAACGCAGCAATAACCTGCGACAAGGTTTCCGCCCACCCACAAATTTTCTCCCATTTCGGGGACGCCTCTCGCCCTGTGACAGCTGGAGCCCGTCCCCGCTGTCACAGGGCGAGAGGCGTCGTCCAAATCATGCGACTGTAAGTGTGTGAGTACCTGCTCTCTCTCAGGGTGATATGAAGCACAGATGAGGCGTCTGCAGCGCTGCATGAATCCGCTGGTCAGAGACACAAGCAGAGCCAAACCCAACAGGAAGCCTGCAACACAGACCACAACCAGTAAAACCAGTAAAGTCCCTTTGTCTCAATGTGGTTAAAAAAGAAAGGTGAAAATGTGTGTGGCTGAAACACGTCTTCACGGTGTGACGGCAATAACACACATACAACACAGATATCGGACGGACAGCTGATTTGATTATGAAAAGGTTGCAATCAGACAAACATCACATTTGTCTGCATGTAAATCTCTGATGTCAGGTGAACATATTTGTGTTGGTTTGCCTCTGCACACTGGGCTCTGTGCTGGGTGGGTGCTCTGTTAGAGGCGGCCGGGGCTCAGGCCTTTGCCATTTGTTTTTCTGGTGGGTTCTTATTAGGGCTGCCACGATTACGTCGACTATCAAAAT